ACATTGATGACGTGAGTTGGCCTTTTTTCCTGGGATGGTGACTCCATGATTCAATGCAGGACTCTAGTAAGAGAAAGAGTGAGCAAACATTGCTGCCCAGATCATGGCCTACCTCTCCACCAGAGTCACATGGAGCCTTTAGAGATGAGCCCTTAGTGATGACTCTACTCAGTAGTAGAACCTCAGAATCATAGTTGAGTCACAGAGTTTTAGAATTCTAGAGCATGCCCAGCCCCCCATCTTCCTGGTGAAAAGTACTGTATCCAGAAGGCCTCCTCTCTTGTCTATTTGCTTACAAACATATGGTAAACACAGAATAGATGGTATATACAAAACAAGTCCTTACACATATGTTCATGAGTTATAAAGGAACTAAAACTTACGGAATATTTCTTATGTTCCAGGAACTGTGTAGAAGGTGTTTTGTTTGTGTTGACATGCACTAACATTTATTCTCTTAACAGTTCTACAATGCTGAGACTGAGGAACAGCAAGGTTATGTCACCCAAAGGCATACGGGACGGGGGAAGGGGTAAACTCAACTTGCCCTGTCTCCAAAATCTATGTTTTCTAAACTCAACTGTGCTTCTACCCTCCTTCAAAAGGAGTTTCTCACTTTTACTTGATGAATTTTCTAACTTACTGTTTAACCATATTCCTCTGTATTATAAAAATCAGTAGTTAACTTTGAATCTCAATTTTTTTCCATCTTTATTGAGGTATATTTGACAAAAATTATATATATTTAGGGTGTGCTACATGTTTTGATACACATCGACATTCCAAAATGATTACCACAATCCAGCTAATTAACATATCCGTCATCTCACGTAGTTATCTTTTTTCTTTTTCTGTAGTAAGAACATTTAAGAACATTGAACAATTCTTTGCATTTTCAAATTAAAAAACAATCAGTAGTAAAGATGCTATAGGACCAGATGGAGTTGCCCCTTTACAATAGATAATATTTTAGCTTTCATAAAGTTAAGTAAGACTAATGATAGTCAAATCCTTCCTAGTTTGAACTACACAAATACTAATTAAAACAACAGAAACTGCCTTTAGAAATTTTGCTTCCCATATTGATCCTTTTTATTCCTAAATTTGTTACAATTTTAACTATGAGATCATGAAGGCAAATTGTTTCATAAAACTAAAACCAATGTATACACATAATAACTTATTTCCTGGTTTGTAGGGACCATGGATAGCAGGGTGTCTCAAAATTAGCACTGATGGCATTTGGACTCAATCATTCTTTGTTGTAGAAAGTTATGATATGTATTTTTTAAACTATGCTACTCTTCAAGTTTATTTAGGAAACCTCATATGCATAGAGAATGCAAAGTTAAACTGCAACCACACTGGAATTTCCATAATTGCCCAAGAAATTGAGTTTAATGCAGCGGTCCACATAGAACATATTACACAAAGAACAGACAAGATAATTGCGGCAATGACTGGGAAGAAAGAATATGCCCATGTGGTACAAAGTGCAGGGGTGATGATCTGAATTACAAAATTGTGCTATAGATCAAAATAGAGGTAATACCCAAACAAACAGACATTATTATTTTCAGTGTGAACACTATTTGGCTCCAAGTTAGAAACAGAAAACATGCCACTCAGAGACAGATTATCTGTAACTTGTTAAGAAGACTAAGATGCCTTCATTGACTCCTTCCCTGAAATAATAGAAAAGAACATAGTTTATGTGCCAACTAAATATTTATTTTATTTATTTATTTAAAATAAATGAATTCAAAGACTATATGTAGTCCATTTTTATTTTTATTTATTTATTTTATTTATTTTGAGATGGAGTTTTGTTCTTGTAGGCCAGGCTGGAGTGCAATGGTGCAGTCTCTGCTCACTGCAACCTCTGCCTCCCGGGTTCAAGTGATTCTTCTGCCTCAGCCTCTCGGGTAGCTGGAACTACAGGCACGCACTGCCGTGCCCGGCTAATTTTTTGTATTTTTAATAGAGATGGGGTTTCACCTTGTTGACCAGGCTGGTCTCGAACTCCTGACCTCAGGTGATCTGCCCACCTCGGCCTCCCAAATTGCTGGGATTACAGGCATGAGCCACTGTGCCAGGCCAAGAAGGCCGTTTTAAAACAATAAAATGAGCGCCACTGGTTGGTGCCACAGGTTTGCAGAGATTTGGGTTTACATGGTACGATTCATGGGAGGCAGGGACATGCTTGCTGTGTGTTCAGAGGTAACCCTGAGCACTTGAGAAACTCTCTTTGCTGCCTTCCACCTAATGGCTCATGAAAAAGGGCCCAGCAGATCTGTTTCTCAGAGAGTGGCCAGAGCAGAGTAGTTTAATTATATATAGTCTTTCATTTTTAATTAAAGGGTTCTTATAATCCTTAATATGTAATATTTAAGCAATATGAGTGTGAAAATAATACAGAAACAGCCTGCAGAGTCACACGACTTACCAAATTCATACTAGTATGAGTGCACATTTTCCCTTCTTTAGATCACCTTCTGCTCAGTTTACCCAAAGCAGTTTCTAAAGTTGATGACCATTTTGGAAGACTGGCTAATAACATTTTACTGGCTTGGGCTTTGAGGAAATTATTTTCAAGAGAAATGAGTTGTAGTAAACGACTCATGTAAATGACGAATCATAGTAAACAAACACTAAACAAAAAGTTTTTTTGTTTTTTTTTAAAGTTTATTTCATGGTATCTAAAATGGCTGAGATTTCAGGAAAGTCTAATCACACTTGACCATGAGCGTTGGGTTGCTTTTCCTTCCTCTGAGGCCAAGAGTTGCTTATGTCCAAGACTGTGAAGAACTCTTTTTGACCTGCTGGATATGATCTTGTGACTGGGTCAAGGGAAATGAACTCTAGAAAACATATAATTGGTTAGAATTTTTAAACTTTTGATTTTGATTTTGGAGACTAAAAAAAATAACTCATAATACATTTTCCCCAAGTTTTGTGTAGTACTAGTTCTTCCAGCTTTGCCATAATATAGAATTGCAGCAATATTAGTTAAAAATAATGCCGTTCTCCAGTCTGCTAATTATTTTACTATGTTTAAATAGGATCATAGTTAAATCATACTTCATCCAAATTCTATAAGCACTTCTTTTTTGTTGTTGTTGTAGCCTTTAGGGGAAATGAAAATATTTTAAAATTATAACATCAAGAGCTAAGGGGATGTAAGAAAGAGCACAAGGAAGGATAAACAGGACAGAGACGTTCTAGTAAAGTCTCATTACATTAACAAGGAAACTTGGCTAGGGAGACTCTCGGGAGGCGGGTGGCTGTGTTCATAATAAAAGTGAGGGGATACGCATTCTCATTTTCAGCCCAATAGTCTGTATCATTCATTTTCTATGTAATTTTATCCAAGCCTTGGTTCTTTCATGAGGGGTTGCGCTATGTGATTTCTAAAGCCAATTAGCTTCATATTAAGCAATTCTCTAACTGGTCTACTTCCCAGTAGACACTAACTGATCCCAGATGACCAGAGTGTCCTCAGGAAGGAGCCCATTTATTTAAACTTTTTTTTTTTTTTTTTTTTTTTTGAGGCTGAGTCTCACTCTGTCACCCAGGCTGCAGTGCAGTGGTGGGATCTCAGCTCACTGCAACCTCCACCTCCTGGGTTCAAGCAATTCTTCTGCCTCAGCCTCCCAAGTAGGTAGGACTGCAGGCATGTGCCACAGTGCCCGGCTAATTTTTTGTATTTTTAGTAGAGACGGGGTTTCACTGTTAACTCATTTTTTTTAATTATAAAAGTGGCCTTCCACGTGCACCTCATGAACAATAATTGATTCTTCTTTTTGTCACTTTTGAGCCTGGATTATTGTAGCCTGGACCTGGGACAGAGCAGGTATCATGCAACATGTCAGCATACTCACCCCAGGGTTGTTGGAGTACAGCTGTTTCCACCAAAAGACAGAACTGTATGCAGCTAATAAGAGCTCCAGCACAGTGAAGACGAGCATCACCACTAGGACACCCTGCAAATCAGGACATGAATGGCTGGTACCCAACACAAGCTAGCTGTTATGCCTCACTAAGAGGAGACGGGGCGATGAGGCTCCAGCAATGCAGAGAAAAGGGGACAGGGAAAATTGCTTAATCCTCTTTTCTGCTTTCCCTTTCAGATTTCTGAATAGATGAAGGGAAATAAGCAGCAACTGCATCATCTCAGAACTTTGGTATCCTACCTAATGACAGATGAGAGTAATCTACCACTTACCTCTGGTTGCTGTTATTATTTTCTTTTTGACTATGGTGCTTTTTATTGTCATGATGATATTTCTAGGTGTGTATTTGATTCTGTGTATCCTGCAGTGGTCTCAGTGCATTTCTTCAATCTGAAATCTCATGGTTTTATTAAATTCTAAAAGATTTCTAGTTATTTGCTTTTGCATATGCTCTCTCTTTTATAATCTCTTTCTGGGACTGATATCAGATATGTATCAAACCTCTCCACTTCCCTGCATCCACATGCCTTTTAGGCTTTCATCCGTCTTTTCCAAACACACATAATGTGTTGTGTTCTGTGTGATTTCATCAAATCTAAATTCCACTTCACTCTTTGTTTCCTTGAATATATTGAACCTGCTGTTTAACTGATCTGCTAAGTTTTTAATTTCAAAGACAATTTTCATTTCCAATTATGTGATTCCATTTTTTTCTCAAATGCACATATCTTTTTTTCCCTTTACTGTCCTTTTTTTTTTCCATTTTGGTTTCTATTACTTTTTTTTTTTTTTTTAAGACAGGGTCTCATTCTGTCACCCAGTTTAGAGTGCAATGGTGCGATCTCGGCTCACTGCAACCTGTGCCTCCCCAGTTCAAGCGATTCCCCTGCCTCAGCCTCCCAAGTAGCTGGGATTACAGGCTTGCACCACCATTCCTGGCTAATTTTTGTATTTTTAGTAGAGAAGGGGTTTCACCATGTTGGCCAGGCTGGTCTCAAACTCCTGACCTCAGGTGATCCACCTGCCTCAGCCTCCCAATGTGCTGGAATTACAGGTGTGAGCGACCGCGCCTGGCCTGGTTTCTGTTACTTTGTAAACATTTTTAATGATTTAAAACGTATTTTCATAATAGCCGTTTTCAAATTATTATATTATCTACAGTTCTTGAGCTTCTGACTTTCATGTTTCCCCATTTGCTGCCGCTTCTCGTTTTTTCGTGTTGTTGTTATGTTTCTCATAATATTTTGGTTATTAGATAACTGCAGTGTGTAGATGGTGGTAGTGGTAGGGTTCTTTGATAGGGAGGCATCTTATAAGTTAGGTTTATGGACATCTCCTTCGATAGTAGTTTTAGATTTGATTCTGCGAGAACCTGAGAAGTTTCACATATCTTGTAGCAGTTTTTAACTTAATCCCTTTATTTGAGGTTCCCCTATTTTACATGTAATTATGAATTCGGATGGCACACTTCCACAAAGCTTAGTGAGCTGATGGAAGGTTTTCTTGAAACTTCTTGGGATGTTGGGCAGAATTTTCTTCATATTATTTTCACAAATTGAGTAAATACTCAGTTTCAGCTTTCAACATTTTTGCATGGTACTCAAAATGAGCTCTATGGTCCTGCCCAATGCCAGATCTTGTCATGGATGTTAAAACTGTGTGAGCCTAGCCTCTAACACCAATATTCCTATCCAGACTTCCTTGTGTTTTTTGGCCTCAGCTCTTGTTTGATGATTTGGCTTTAGGATCCTTCTTAGCTTCTGGAACCTAAGACATCTTTCTTCTTTGATTTGTTTTTCCTTCTGCCCTCCCTTCTTCTTCCAACCTTGGCTGTATATTTTTTAATTTTTAAAATTTCGTTACTTTTGTTCAGGTAATTGCTGTGTTAATTAACAAAGAGTAGGCCTTTAGAGTCGGCTTAGTCGGCTATGTTGCATCTTCTCTGATATTGTGGGAAGGTCTTTTGGACTCCAGTTGTCTCAGAATGGGAGGCAGTTTGAAGTAATGAAATTCATTTTCTTTAAATTAAACCCCCAATATGCCTCTCCCACCCCCATTGCTTTACCAGATGTCTGTCCTGCACCAGGATGACACTATCTACCAGGTTTCCTCCAGACGGGTCTCTGTGCTCTTCTACTTCCTCAAGCTCCTGAACCAAAAGGGTTGCTTTTGACAATCTCTGCATCACATGAGCAGACCCACAGGAGTGCAAAAGCTTGCACACATTTTATGAGGTTTGTGAAACAGATGGATCCAAGGGAATGAGAGATACTGCCTTGGGCTCCCTGTGCTCCTACTAGGAGGATTCATAGAGGAAGAACTCTTTCTTCTTAAAAGGCCACTGGTTTATGGTTTTAACACCATGATCCTATATTTATAGGATTGAACAAGCAAGGCTTGTCACCACGAACAGGAAGTGATCATCAAGTTTGGGAGAAAGGTGCCAACAAAATGCTGCCCAGAAAGGTTGACATTTTTTCTAGAAGTCAAATCTGTGATAGGCTGTCTCCCTTCCCACCACTCTCTGTCAGCCCTGTTGGACCAAAGTACAAAATAACTATGTATTTGGACTTAAGGTTCAAGTTCTGTGCCTAACATAATGTAGCATACAGGCTTGCATTTGAAGATTAGATTAAACACCATACAGCCTCTCCTAGTCCTCAATTCACTGATGATCAGAAGACAAGCATCTTTAAGGGGTAGGGGCATCCAACCCCTGGAAAAGAATCCAAAAGAGATAATCCCAAATTCAAATATAATTCAAATGAAGACTATTTCTGCCTGTGATGAGTAGGGAGAAGCCTGTTCAACAAAGGATGTACTTTAAGAGTTAAACCCATTGAGGTTGGAATGTTTGTGATAAGAAAGACAGTGGAGGGACGGACTCCCTACTGTCCTTCTTGATTTCCTCTTTGGACTTTATATAGTACATCCCCCACACCACGCAGTCGGCAGACAGGCCTCTTCTAACCACAGGTTTTTGTTTATTTCTGTCTGTCTCCAGGCATTCAGACTGACAGGACCAGAGACTGCCAGAAAAGCAGAGATTATGCAAAGGGGAGACACAGAGATTTCACATGACAGAATGTTCAATCTGAAACTACTCACTGTTAAACTGACACTGGTCAGGAGACAATCTTTGATTTCATATATTGGATAATAGTACTCCGAATAAGGCAATGAGGATAGATAATCCGTTTCTGAGCCACAATGTTGAGAGGCAGTCCTCAGAGCTACCACGCTGTCAGCAAGGAGGAAGAGGCCTGCCCCTGCAGTAACGGAACTCACTGCATTTGAGGTCAGGCTGCTCAGGTCCTGGAAGAGAAACTCTGCATTGGGTTCTCATCACAGAATCAGCACGTGACACTATGAGTCCTCTGTCCATTGTACTGCCATGGTGCTTCCTTGGGTCTGTTTCCTTCCTGTTTCCTTGTGTGGGCACAAACTGTGTTTTATTCATCTTTGTATCTCTTGTCACTATTTAGTTAAGCATGTGATATAATTAGTAAATGCTTATTGAATAAGAAAATGCATGGATAATTCCTCCTTAGGGAGAGGGATTCTGGCCCTTGACTCTCTATAGCACTCAAAATAGAGTCAGTGCTGCTCAGGTCACTGCCAACATCTCCCGTGACCTCCTCAATAGCCTTAGAATCATTCTGTTGCCTTAAGGGCTTCTAGAATATGGACTTTGGCTCCTTCTGGTAAACTGAATCTATGACTTTGATTTACATAAAAGAGCAGCTTCAGACAAAAGGTGGAGGCAAACTGGAAAAGTTGGAAAACCTATCTATAGGTCTATGGGAACATAAGACAGATTTTCAATTGATAAGCAATTGATCTTGAATTGACAATCAATATTTGTTCAATATGACAAGCATATGCCTTCAGTTTTCCAAAGTGACAGGACATGAGGCAGAGGCACATGGGCTTAGACCCTGTGTTTCTCTCTCCACCCATTCACAAACAGAAATATTATCAGACTGTAGCCACTTTTCCCACAAACCTTGGAGGGAGAAAGGGAAGAAGCAGCTATAAAGCCTTTGCTTCTCTCCATAGCAATTTTCTCTCTTCCCTGCCGTACACCCACAGAGGTGATTTAGGGAAAAGCCACATCCTGACTCAAGAAGATACAGGGTCTGGCTAGGCATAGATGAAGACACATGAATGGTACGTGAGGCTGGTATATGCTCCTGATGATTGAAGCTGCAGTCTAGAACCCAGGAGTATGGAAGAGGATTTTGAAGAGTTCACAGCATTCATTAGTTGGAGTCATAGTTCTAGACTTAGAATCCGAAAACCTCTCCTCCTATCCTAGCTCTGTCACCAACCCATCTCACCGATCCATCTGCGTGCTTGAGCAGATCTTTCTTACTCTGGGCTTCAGTTATCTCTTTTATAAAATGTGGAAGATGAATCTTCTGATCTCAGAAGTGGCTTCCCAAATGCAGTGAATACACAGAAAGGGAAATCTATGCCTGGACTTGACGACAATGTGGGCTCCACATGTGGGACAAAGAACAACATGTGGGCTCCATTGCTCATACGGTAGCTTTGGGCAAAGTGACTGTCCATTGGGACTAGTTTTCCTTCAAAGACTCAGCACATGAAGCCACGTAGCTACAGAGCTGGAGTAGAAAAGGGCAGAACAACCATCCTCCCCAACATACATTGTCTTCCAATGATGCTTAAACAGAGAGGAGCATGCGCTGGAAACCTTGCACAGAGCCTGGCACATCAGTGTCTTTGCTAATGAATTGTCATGCTATGGGAGAATCCTTTCTCCTAAAATGTAGAAGAAGAGTTGGGAAATGGTGTGGTGAATGTGGTTCTCATAGGCCTGATCCACCTGTAGGTAGGTATTCCAACCTCTCCAGTTTGCTTCTGTCTTTTCTCTAAAGCTGCTCATTTAAGTAAGAAGACATAAATTGGGTTTCTACAGAGGGACCAAAGGTCATATTCTAGATGCACTTAGGGCAATATAATAATTCTAAAGTTGTTGAGGAAGCCAGGGGGATGTTGGCAGTGGCATGAGTGGTATTGTCTTTGAGTTTGGTGCGGCAATCAGTGTTGACATTGCAGACATCCCCCTTACCTCTACTCCATCACCCTCATTTTCTCCCACCTTACTTTAAACTGATTTTTTTCCTCTAACATCCAATTATCAAGAATGGGTCTTTGGATGGAAATAGTCTCCTCCAGCCTGGAAAAAGATGGCAACACCCTCTTCTGACAGAGGAATGAATGCCTCCCCACCTGTTATTTGACTGAATGAGGTTTATTTCAGTTGCCTAAAAAGTAGAAATTTGAGAATATATCACGGACTTCTTTCAAGTTGTTACCATGGCCACTGAGTAGGGTAAACCAGTTATCCTGGTTTGCCTGGGGAGTAAAGGGTTTCCCAGGATATAGGCTTTCTAGGCTAAAACTGAGACAGTCCTGGGAAAACCAAGACAATTGGCCACCCTGACACTGAAGGGCTAGAATTTGTGTGAAGTCCCAACTCTATGAATGGGGACATTTGGCATCAAAAAGAACCCCAGGAGGCAGGTTTTACAGAAAAAGGATCTGTAGGCTCTCTCTGGGATGGTTGGCTACTTTATTCAAGGTCAAGGTAACAAGCTGTAAAGAGTCCATGGTACATTTAAAAATTTACACTTTTTAAATAACTGAGGTAAACCTCCTCCAAGCTTGGAATATAATCCAGAAGCACCATTTGTAGAAGAAAGAGCGCTGGTCTAGAAGGCAAGAAATTTGGGCTCTACTCTTCGTTCTACCAATGGGACAGCCAGGAAAACCTGGGATTCCTAGCCTGTTCTAAGCTTTATCTCTCTAAACTGTAAAATAGGGATTTTCAACTAGAAGACTTAACTCTGACATTTCTTCAATTCCAACCAGCTGAGATTTAATGGTCCTTATACTTACAAAGGGCTTAGTTGATTGTTTTCCAGAGATAATTGAGAGGGATCCAGTAATACCAAACTGCTCAGAAAAGAGAGAAATAATCAGTTCAGTTGTCTTGTGGAAATGTGCCCACCATGTCACTGTCAATCACTCAATCAAAAAGTGATGTTGGAAAACTTTTAGGTAGAGAACACTGCAGAAATCGTGTGAATCCATATTGCTAGAAAGGCCTAATTCCCACCTGACATAAGAATGTCTATATTGACTTTGAATGACATGCAGATGTACAGAGGGGTTGGATTTGTTTTAGTGGAAATCATTAGGAACTGAGGAGGCCTGGAGAAAAGGTGTTCATGGGAAGGAGAAGAGTGTTACTAAATTACAAGGTTGAAAGAGAGGAGGTTGAGATGGACCAACGACTTGAATGGATCTAGAGATTGGAACAGCCAACAGAAGCACTCAGGAAAGAGGCTCTGATGGGACAAGGTGCAGAAACACATGAACTGGAAGTTATTGGTGTATGTTGCTTGAGTCAGAATGGGAGTTGAGGAAAGTGGGAAGAGCAGGCTCAGACATGAAGTCTTTATCATAAAGCCCCAGAAATCGGTATTTAATCCCAGTGGTATTAAAGATCCAGCTGGCAGAGGAAGGGTATTCTGAGAAGCTGAAAAGTTGCTTAAGTGTGTGGCTTGGATATTGAATAGTCACAGGCAAAAAGGGTCCAGTATAAGCTAATGCTAGCTTCTCTAAGGAGACGTGGGGCCCACAACCACTGGTTATAGGAGAAGTCAAGGACAAATTGTGCTCTGGGGCAGGAGCAGGGCCTCCTTACATGACTGCACAGTTTGTGTTCACACAGGGACTGTATCCACACAGAAATGGTACCTTAGTATAGTTCGTCTGCCCAGAATGTTTGCTTTTTATCCTTTGTACAAAATACTACATGGAGAAGAAATAACCCTTTGTGGGACGTGCGAGTCTGCCCTGGCCACTCTCTGAAAAACAGATCTGCTAGACCCTTTTTCATGAGCCATTAGGTGGAAGGCAGCAAAGAGAGTTTCTCAAGTGCTAAGGGTTACCTCTGGACACACAGTAAGCCTGTCCCTGCCTCCCATGAATCTTACCATGCAAACCCAAATCTCTGCAAACCTGTGGCACCTCCCAGTGGTGCTCGTTTTACTGTTTAAAAATGGCCTTCTCACTCTCTACCTTAAAAGTTAATTATTCTTACAATGGAGAGAATCCAATGGCCTCATCAAAGCCCCAAAGAGGGATATGGAAAAACATCCACTTTTCCAGAGGTATGTTGTAATGCCAGGTAAGAAATGCTGTGCTGGTATTCCCATTGCATTACCACCATTCTCGCTTGCCCCCTGCTTTGCAGGAAGACAGATTAAGTCTCTCTGCTGCTCTTCTTGAATAGAGGAAATGTGATGTGGGGCAATGATAGAAGGAAAGTTGAGGCCTTGCCTTCTTTTGCCTCCTGGCCTCTTGGAGTCTGAGTCACTCCACAACTATGCACCTGGTTAGCGTTTATAAAGCATGTCCCCTTTTACAGTCCCCATTCTACTCACACACAGAGCTCCTAAAAATGGGTACCCAGACATCAGAGTGGTGGAAATTGCTGGACTGAAGTGGGAGGGGTAGGGAGCAAAAACCAAGATGGCCCCCAAACTTGAAATCATCAGGCAACACAGGATCTGGACAGTCTGCAATAGAGAAGACAGGAAATCTAGACTGCACTTCAAACAGATGAAAGTGATTATTTGAATGCACATTGTAAAGCATAAAGAGTATAAAATACGTTATAATTTGTTGTATTAAAGAGGAACAAATGTTACAAGGAGCCGATCGATATGCTGCTAGAGGAAGTCATGTATAGCTAACCTCTTCTTTTCTGATAGGATTACTAAACTAGCAAATAGGGAAGTGATCATATGCACACTTTAACTATTTTTGAAAAAGATACTTGACAGTTTTTAAATTTATTTCCTTGAAAAGTAGATAAAAAAGTTGTTCAGTGAGGTGGAAACTTTTCACAGGAGTGTTAATGAAGAGTTTTTTCAGTTGAAATTAGATAGAGCAGGTCATCTCTTCTGTTGTAATTCATCTTGTTTTGTTCATCATTGAATTTTAATAATAATTATTTCACAAGTGGAAGAACTGAAGTTTTGCCATTAGTTTGCTCTAAAGCCTATGCTTTTGCTCAAATGCACGTGCAATTGAAAGATGATGCAAACATAGGAGAAATAAAAAAAGAAGTCAACCATTCATATCATTAATAGTTATTGAATACCTGTTGTGTGCCAGGCACCAGGGAATGAAGCAAATGAAAATCACTACCATTGGAGAGCTTATATATGTATTGTGTGTCTTGTCTGTAAGGATATAGACAAGTTCCATGGAAGGCAGAATAGAGTTAAGAGCAAAGTAGTAGGACATGAGACCTGTGAAGGACTGGAGGCATGCTGCAAACGATGTAGGGATTTTTAGGCTGTTTTACCAACTTTGCTTTTCATCTTGAACAAAAAAGGAATCCCATTGGATAATTTTGAACTAGCAGGATACATGACCTAACTTTCATTTTTAAAAGATCACCCTACCTGCTGTACTAAGCATAGATTGTGAAGAAACAGGGCAGGGAGATCCATCTAAAACTGGGAGTGAATAGGAGCTGGGTATTATAAGAGAGTATTCAAAACCATTTGGAGATTAAAGTTCTGGATATGAGGGATGATAATCTGGGACACTTAGATGTCTTATCATTTTATGAATGGGGAAAAATGGATCATGAGATTAGTCTTGATTGTCTCATCTCAAAATATTTGAAAAATGAGCTCAAAGTTAAGAATATCTAATTTAATCAAACTGAGTAAAATCCGTATGGTTAAGTAGAAAATTTTTACTGTACTAAAGACAAAATAAGGAAGACGAATTTGTGGCCAGGCGCAGTGGCTCATGCCTGTAATCCCAGCACTTTGGGAGACCAAGGTGGGTGGATCACGAGGTCAGAAGTTAGAAACAAGCCTGGCCAATATGGTGAAACCCCATCTCTACTAAGAATACAAAAATTAGCCGGGTGTGGTGGCGTGCACCTATAGTCCCAGCTACTCAGGAGGCTGAGGCAGAAGAATCACTTGAACCCGGGAGGCGGAGGTTGCAGTGAACCAAGATCGTGCCACTGCACTCCAGTCTGGGTGACAGAGGGAGATTCCATCTCAAAATATATAAATAAATATATAAATAAATAAAATAAGAAAGACTAACTTGTTAATTGTGAAGCATGCTAGTGAAAAAGATCTAGTGGTTTTAGTTTCTGGAAACTGCTGCAGAGGATATAGTCTTCCCCTAAAGCTCCATTTCATGTCCTCATTAGCCTGGAGTCAGCCAGAAAAGAGTGAAAGAGTTTCCCAGACTCACTGTAGATCTGTAGTCTAGATACATTTACAAAGTATTTTCTCAATATTCCCCTTATGATGAGGTGGACTTACCCCAAGAACGGTGGCTTCTGTTGGCAGCCCGCTCTGAAGGTAATCTTCTTTTTGGTACTTGTGTCCAGGTTTCTCTCTTTGAGGGATAGTGATGCCCTTTGGTGTAAAGCTGTCAAAAATCCCCATGGTTTGGGATTGTAATAGCATGATGCTGATGATGCTGGAAGAGGCATCAAACTCAGTTACTTCCCAAGGTTTGACTTACAGACATAAGCTTCCAGGGACCATAACTTGTAGGAACGTAAAGTATTTGCCATTATTCCAAGGCTGGTTGTCCTTCAGAAACAAAACATGGGAATCAGTGGAGCATTGGAAAGCGGGCATGCTGGGCACAGTTCATCCATTGTGGTCAAGAAGCATGTCACTGCCAGAGAACTGTACATATTTTGAGGGGTCCTACAATTGAGAAGTGAGCAAATCACATAGAAGTTGCTTTGTAGCCCTAAATATGTCCATCTCACTCTCCCTCCAATGACCTCTGCTTCCAGCTTCCCTTCCTTATCTCCTGTGTCTCTGCTTCACCTGTGCTACCTTTCCACACCACATCTTCCAGGATTATACTCTTGTGCTACACCTGCACTGATCAGTCTTCTACTCTAGTCTTCATTTTATCTTCATAAAAATATTGGGGATGAATGCTGTTCCACTTTCCTTTCCTATAGCGAGATGGCGTATCCCATCCAGAATCTTCCTCCTTGCTTATATTGGTTTAGTAATTAGTAATGTAAACATTTACTTAACTCCTGCCGAATTCCTAGCATTAGACCATTGCAACTCTAATCCTTATAACAACCCTGTCACTTACATGTTATTAAATCAATTTTATACATTAGAAACCTGGGGCTAATAAGCTCAAGTGACTTTCATTGAATGAAATAGTCACATAAAGCACTTATCTCAGTACATAGAACGTGTTCAATATACAGTAGCTAATATTAACAGCCTGCATTTATGTGACTGGATTGAGGCTTATCTGGCTCAGAGGCGTGTGGTATTTTTTTCTCTATGCCATGTTAATTCTTCTCCTCTTCCTTCCTAACGTTTCCAGTTGCCTTGTAGGTTCCAGGAGCAAGTTGTCTGCCACCACCAACTCAGCAGCATTGCTGGGCCTCTGTGGTGTCAGTAACAAGGCTCAGCTCCTGAAATGTTGCCCAGATTTGTTTTCAGCTCAGCATTCTCCCTACTGAAGGCCAGAGTTTAGTTAAAGGCTTGTGATCCTTGAAAGGTGTTACAGCTCTGCTGCCTGACATTTTGCCTCAACGTGTTGGTGCTTTAGGAATGGTTCCAGGATCTCTTGGGTGGAGTGAATAACAGATAAAGATTGGAAATGACACCTAGAATCTCTTCCTAGTGAGGGAGATGGAAAAGTGCACTGGGATGGGAGTCCAGTGCCTAGGCATCTACTTGCACATCAGAGCCTATGTCTTGAAGTCCAGTCCTATGTTCAGATCCTACATCCACCAATTACTGCTAAACTCACCCTGGGCAAGGTATTTTCACCACTTCATAGGTTTGTGATACAGGTTAGATAAGATGACACATATAATGGGCTCAACATAGAGTGAGGCATGTGATAAACTCGCAAAACGTATCAGTTTTATCTAATACTCATTGGAAGCCCAGTTCTGATATTGATGAGCTGGCCATACACAGGATACCTCCCCTCATTCATCCCCAGTTTCCTTATCTGTAAAATAGGGATAATGATACCATCCTGAAGGACTCTTCTGAAGATGTGAATGACATACATGAGTGCCTTTTGTTGTAACTCTCTGAGTTTTATTAGGTGTTCCATAATAGTCAATCCATGTTTGGACCCCCATTTTATTTCTGCTCCTAGATCTGTGCCTTAGTCTAGTTTCTCATGCTCTCTGGGAATCAAGTACTTTATCTGAAGAAATATTAAACCTAAAGTTCTCTTTGTTTAAGGAGATAATTTTCATTTCTTGGAATTTTGAAATCTGGGTAGAAGTATGGGTAAGGTTACATGTCCTATGAGGGGAATAATGTTGAAGCTGAGTCCCTGCAGTGGAGCCAGGGTGAGCCTTCCAGCACATCTTTAAAGCCAGAGAAGGAGAAAAAGTCTCAGGCTTAGAGAAATTCTAGGTTTCAGAATCAAACAGTAGTTCATGATAAAATGATAATCATTGCCAACATTGATTGGGCACGCACTATGAATGTAGCATTCTATTAAGAGCTTTGTGACAGTCTCATTTAATCTGCACTCTCAGAGATGGGCGCTGAACCCTGAAGATAAGAAAAATGAGGCTTGGAGAGGTGAAGTAGCTTGCACAAGATTGCTTATCTAGCAGGTCGTGGAGGCAAGATTTGGGCACAGGCCGTCTAACACCAGAGCTCTTCTATATCCCTGTAGGTTTGTGTTTGCCCGGCTAGCTACACCTGATTCTCATCCTCTCTATTCTTCCTCCCCTATTGTTGAAGCATTGGCTGCCACTTACCAGTTCCATACCCTCCCCCAGGGACATTGCTAATCTTGGGGAATATAAGTTGAAGATTTCTATTTCCCAAATTGTTTTCATGTTGTAGAAACTTGGCTTTTACCTTGCTCCGTGTGGCACAATAGCCGAAATATACCAACTAGACTCCTTCCTACTAGTCTTCGTAACCAGCCTCCTAAGTTCTGGATTCCTTTCTTTATTTTTTGAATCTCATACCCAAGGACCGCAGAAAATGCTTGATTCTCAGCCTGAAGCTAGGACTCGAAAGTTTAATTGATAATTTCAGACTATAGCCTGAAACCATGATACCATGAACATTTATTTTCCTTGGTTATTTCTTAACTGTTTGTTTTGTTTGAACGAGTGCATAAAGTACCACCATTACAAGGGAATACAGTTTGAAGAAGAAAACAAATTAGCTCCTTAACTTTCAACTGTCACCCGATCACTCTTGTTTCCTATGCACATATTCTTTACATTCTCTCTTCCCCTCTGCCACTTTGTCTCTCTCCTCTTTATATATGTTCACAGACATTCACAACTTTACGGAAATAATCATTCTATCCATGCCATTTTATAACTGTTCTTTTTGCACTCACCATTATTCTGTAGACATCTTTGACCAATGAATAGAAATAATAAAAATCCTAAATTTAAAAGCAAACGATAGATTCTGATACATGCCACAACATGGATGAACCTTAAAGACAATATGGCAAGTGAAATAATCCAGTCACAAAAGGACAAATATTGTATGATTCTACTTACGGGAGGTCCCTAGAAGAGTCAAATTCAAAGAAAGTAAAATGGTGGTTGCTAGGGGCTGGGGGGAGAGGGGAATGGAAAGCTATTGTTTAATGGGCATGGAGTTCCAGTTTGGGCACACAAGGAAGTTCTGGAGTTGGGTGGTGGTGACGGTTGCACAACGGTGTGAATATACTTAATGCCACTGAACTGTAAACCTAAAAATGGTTAAGGCTGGGTGCAGTGACTCATGCCTGTAATGAGCACTTTGGGAGGCCGAGGTGGGGAGATCATCTGAGGTCAGGAGTTCAAGACCAGCGTGGCAAACATGGTGAGACCCCGTCTCTACTAAAAAAATACAAAAATTAGCCGGGCATGATGGTGAGTGCCTGTAATCCCAGCTACTCAGGAGGCTGAGATGGGAGAATCGTTTGAACCCGGGAGACGGTGGTGGCAGTGAGCCAAGATCACGCCACTGCACTCTAGCCTGGGTGGCTGAGCAAGACCGTGTCTCAAAACAACAACAACAACAACAACAAAACATGGTTAAAAGGCTACAATTATTTTAAGTATATTTTACTACAACAAAAAAGTCAAATGGTATATTTAAATAAATGGAGGTCTTCAGATTCATTTAATCAGTCACACGTTCATGATCATTTAGGCGGTTTCTATTTTTTCTTTTTGGCACTATGAACAATGCAATAATGAGCATCTTTGCACTTTTGTGATGCCTCCTGCATTTAATTATCTCAGAGTGAATTTATTACATTTAAAGCTATGATACTTAAATTTTGACACATGTTGCTACTTTTAGGAGGAATTCTATATAACCAAGATTCTTTATGTTTCACAAAAGTCTCCAGACTGATGCTATCATCTCCAAACACCACAATCTGACAGGATGCTTTGTCCTTCCACATTCGCCTTGTGGAGATAGACTAGAAGGACCCACACCTTTCAAGATGGCTCTAAAATCCTTGCTTTGAAGATAAATCATAACATGGAGGTCAACAGCTGTGCCCAGCAATTTTCTGTATTACAGAATTAGAGTAGGACAATGGGGTTCTAATGCAAGATTCAGTCTAAGTGCACAGTATTTGTTGAGAGTGGATTCTGTGTAAGACTGAGTGACACACCAGGAGAATGCAGAGCATTGCGGAAAATCACCTCAAATCTTGAGAGAAACCTGAGAATGGTTTTAGCCAATTTTCTTATTTGGCAAGTGAGTAAACTGAGACCCAAAAAGGGGACCGAGCTGACGTTCCATCTCACACAGGTGGTCAGAATCAGAGACAGAATGATAATCCAATTCCCTGGCTGTCTTTCCAAAAGCACACAATCTTCCCCAAAAGTCATGATCTAAACCAAGGTGCCTACCTATTCTCGCAGCCTGGTCCTGTGTGCTGTGGCTGGTGCGTCAGCTCCCCTCTGGGGAGCGCTCAGCTGGAACCTCCCACTGGCTGTTCCTGCCAGAACGATCTTGGTGGTCGGCTCTCCAGCCTCTGAGACTTCCTGTCCCTTTCTCAGAGCAGTATTTATGATTACACAGGATGTGAATTTTGCTTATTTACAGACAGTGGATATGTAAAAAGTGCCTCTGCTTCCTCTTTCTAAATTCGGAGGTCTGGAAAAATGACACAAGATAGAAGTGACACATGAGTAAAAGACCTTTGTGAAGACTAGTGATTTGTACGGTCCCAGTTAAAATTCATTTTCCCTACTCCTCCATAGAGTTATGTAAGTCATGTAGTTTCGCTTAGCCTGAGTTTTCTTGTCTATTAAATGGCGGATGGATAATAATAATTCCAATCTGTGGCTGTCGGGAGAATTCAAGAAAAAAGATGCCAAGAGTTTACAAAAAGTAGACACTCTCAATAAATATTGATAATAGTAATGTTAATTTTGAATTTTGGAGAATCTATTTTCTCACTTTCCAGGCTCTTGGTAAGCTGAAAGCAACCTGTGGAAAATTCCATGTCTCCTCGTTACTTCTTTTGGGTGTCTGCATTCTCCATCTTTGGCCTCATGCTCAGGGAAGTCCAGGCACATCTTGGGAAAGATGCCAGTGGATTGGAGTCAGAGGCAGAGCCATCAAGCTCCACACAAGCTCATATTTGGGGAAGTATTTGTTGTTGAGGGGACACTGTTGCCACTTTCACATCCCTTTTAAGGCTTCTTGTAGACTAGCCATTGTTTAGAAGGAGAGGGTTTAAGATGGCTCTGGGACGTGCAGCAGCTGGTGGCACAACATGCTCCATATACAATCTCCATTTCCTAAAGGGTGGCAAGGCTGTGTCCTAAAAGAGAAGTAAACCTAAGCCTGGGAGGTTTAAATAACTCATAAAGTACTTGGAGGGTATTTTAGTCCAGTTCTTCTCTTCCCCAAATGAGGTGATATTGCTGAAGGAATCTGCCCCCAGTCACATGTCTAGCCTGTGGAAGAGGCAGGAATCTAATTCACATCTCTTGGCACCGAGGTCTGGGCTTGCTTCACGGCAAGAGTCTGCCATTTGGTCAACAACTTTTTATTTTTATTTATTTATTTATTTTGAGATGGAGTTTTGTTCTTGTTGCTCAGGCTAGAGTGCAATGGTGCAATCTCAGCTCATTGTAACCTCCACCTCCCAGGTTCAAGCAGTTCTCCTGCCTCATCCTCCCCAGTAGCTGGGACTACAGGTGCCCACCACCACGCCCAGCTAATTTTTGTATTTTTACTAGAGACAGGATTTCGTCATGTTTGTCAGGTTGGTCTCGAACTCCTGACCTCAGGTGATCCACCTGCCTCAGCCTCCCAAAGTGCTGGGATCACAGGCATGAGCCACTGTGCCCAGCTTAGTCAACATCTTAATACCCACAACCAGCATTGTCTTTGCTTAAGAAAACTTCCATGATCCAGACCTTCCTCTGGGCCTATGACCTGCTTTGACCAAATTGTCAAAGAACCTTGGTCATTTGGGCTTCTCTCACACTTCTTCTGAGACCCTGAAAAGAAATTCGTGAGAAAATCAGTTAGATATCCAGTTTGTTTTTTCATTTGAAAAAAGGTTTTTCAGAGTTGTTTTGTGGATTAAGTCAAATAACATAAAAGTCCCCACGATTGAGCCTGACATACATGAACCATTAAGAAAAATCTGGTATTTCGGCTGGGCACGGTGGCTCACGCCTGTAATCCCAGCACTTTGGGAGGCCGAGGCGGGCAGGTCACAAAGTCAGGAGATCAAGACCATCCTGGCTAACACAGTGAAACCTGGTCTCTACTAAAAATACAAAAAAATCAGCTGGGTGTGGTGGCGGGCGCCTGTAATCCCAGCTACTTGGGAGGCTGAGGCAGGAGAATGGTGTGAACCTGAGAGGTGGAGCTTGCAGTGAGCCGAGATCGCACCACTGTACTCCAGCCTGGGCAACAGAGCGAGACTCTGTCTCAAGAAAAAAAAAAAAAAAAGAAAAGAAAAATCTGGTATTTCTTGTCCAACACCTTCTCACATCCCCTTTAGAGAAAAGTGTATTTTAACTCTAGATTGATCTCTGATCTCTAAGTATAATCTATATTTACTCTAAATTCATGCTCCTGTCCATTGAGAGGAATCTCCTCAGCCCTTTGCAAACAGTCCTGGTGCTCTAGACAGCCAAGTGACGCACAGTCCTAGTGCTTCCTTCAAGGATATGATCTCCCCGCCATCCCCACCCCAAGCAGTCCATGAAGCTAGTAAAATGGAAATGCGTCTTATATGTCAGAAGACTCTGCCAGCCTTGGACAGACTAACTGTATTTTCTTTTTCTCTAGCAATGGAGATGATGGGCTGGGACTAGGGTACAAAGTCTGGTCATCCAGAGAGAGATTCCTTGGAGCAGCATTCACAGACTCCCTTGATGTTTGACTTGGTTATTGGTTCCTCACGGAATATTCTCCCTGTTTCTTAGAATCTTGTATCATGCCAGTGGAATGAAAGTGAAAGGATTTTTCCCCCAACTTCAGCATTTTACAGGTGGGGAAACTAAAGGCCAGAGGTTTCTTAGGGAGTTAGTAGTGACTGGGCTGGTGGCTGATTCATGCAGTTTCTATCTCTATACTATTTTAGTGTTTTCTTTATGCCTTTGCGGTTCTTTAATACACAGGTAATGACTCTTTCTAGCAAGTACTCTCTGCTAAAATAACAGGAGGTTTCTGTCTTTTGGCTGATAACCTGAATTACAGAGAGGTTAAGTAACTTACCCTGTCACACACCCTAGAAATTAGTGAAGTCTAGATTTGAATCCAGGTAATCTTAATTCAGGGACTGTGCTCTTAACTGGTATATTATTACTTCCAGGAACTCGCTTTACTGGTCATCTGGACTTGAACAGTAAACCCCCAAACCTGGTGTGAGACCCTACCTTCCAAGTGAAATACAAACAAATGGTTATTTCCTGGTGCTTCTGATATCAGAGTAAAACAGTATTGCTGGGACTCACCATTCAGTGATGATGAATAGGGCAAAAGAATGCAATTACCTCAGATGGGGATGAAGCTGAGCATCTCTAGCTTTGTGTAACTGGAGGCTACACATGACAATGGGCGTGATGGGATGACTAAGCATGGGGGAGTCTCTTTCTACACCATCGTCACCAGCCAGGTTTCTGCCTCTCTTGGTCTCTGCCTCTGCTGATCTCGCCATGCACACAGCAGGCCTTGTGTGGTGCTTTACAGAAAATCTCCTTACTGAAGAGGTGTAGGGCACAACATTCCTTTAAAAAATTCCACATGAAAAATATTCCTCACTTTTCATTCAAATACCATAGTTTGAGTGCTTCTTCTGTGCCAGGCCGTGTTCTAGGTGCTTGGATTGCATCCATGAACAGAACAGACAAAACCACCTTCCTCTGTGGGATTTTGCTTTCTCCTAGAATGTTAAAATAGAACAGTGAGGAAGCATACTACATAGTCCTAGTAATAAGCCTAGCAACAAGGTGAATAGACCAATGAAACAGAACCGATGTTAAGAGTAGCATTTTATTTTATTTATTTATTTATTTATTTATTTATTTATTTATTTATTTGAGACAGAGTCTCTCTCTGTCGCCCAGGCTGGAGTGCAGTGGCGCGATCTCGGCTCACTGCAAGCTCTACCTCCCGGGTTCACGCCATTCTCCTGCCTCAGCCTCCTGCGTAGCTGGGACTACGGGCACCCGCCACCACAGCTGGCTAATTTTTTGTATTTTTAGTAGAGACGGAGTTTCACCATGTTAGCCAGGATGGTCTCGATCTCCTGACCTCGTGAACCGCCCGTCTCGGCCTCCCAAAGTGCTGGATTACAGGCATAAGCCACCAGGCCCAGCCAAGAATAGCATTTTAAATGGCTCTCATGAGGTGAATAAGCTTTAACATATTGAAATGAGGGGAGTTTTTCCTTATCCCCCTTGCAGGGCACATGATGGGGGTATGACTCACTTCTTTGGTGCCCCGCAGCTCCAACCCCTAAGGGAAGCATGCAGGCGGGCAGGTCGTGGGGAGCGTGGGCTCCGACTCCATGGCAGCACCTAGGGTTGAGTGTTTACAGCTCCCAAAACCCAAACGGGTGTGTGTTACAATGTGCTCTTTCAGCTTAGCCATCCGCAGGCACCTTGTTTTAAACAGCTTAATTAGACCCTCTGTCTTTTTTTTTTTCTTTTTTTTTTTTTATACTTTAAGTTCTAGGGTGCATGTGGATAATGTGCAGGTTTGTTACATATATATACTTGTGCCATGTTGGTGTGCTGCACCATCAACTCATCAGCACCCATCAACTCGTCATTTACATCAGGTATAACTCCCAATGCAATCCCTCCCCCCTCCCCTCTCCCCGTGATAGGCCCTGGTGTATGATGTTCCCCTTCCCAAGTCCAAGTGATCTCATTGTTCAGTTCCCACCTATGAGTGAGAACATACGGTGTTTGGTTTTCTGTTCTTGCGATAGTTTGCTGAGAATGATGGTTTCCAGCTGCATCCATGTCCCTACAAAGGACACAAACTCATCCTTTTTTATGGCTGCATAGTATTCCATGGTGTATATGTGCCACATTTTCTCAATCCAGTCTGTCACTGATTGACATTTGGGTTGATTCCAAGTCTTTGCTATTGTGAATAGTGCCGCAATAAACATATGTGTGCATGTTAGACCCTCTGTCTTATATCACGGACAGAGGGCTTTCTGTGTCCCCAGGTTCTTGCCCTAGTGTACCAGAAAAATCAGATCATACGTGGGCTTGGAGAGTGAGTGCAAGGTTTTATTGAGTAGTGATAGTAGTTATCAACAGATGGATGGGGAGCCAGAAGGGGGATGGAGTGGGAAGATGTTATTCCCCTGGAGTAGGGCCACTCAGCAGCCTGGCTCTCCTCCAACCATCCTCAGCTGAATTTCCTTTGGCATCTGCTTTGTTCTGCCACCGATAGTCTGCCAGCATCTGTTGGTGTGTTCTTCTGCCAGTGTGTTCCTCTCGATGTCCAGCCGCTTGTGTGTTTATACCCACTGAGCTATCAGGGTTTTTATAGGCACAGGAGGAGGGGCATGGCTAGCTTGGAAATGCAACATTTGGCATG